GTGAGGACAGGGCTCTGGTGTCTGGGAACTGGGGTGTAGGGGCTCTGGTGTTCAGGAGCCGGGGTGTAAGGCGGTGAGGACAGGGCTCTGGTGTTCGGGAGCCGGGGTGTAAGGCGGTAAGGACAGGGCTCTGGTGGAGCTGTCCCTGGTGCCGCCTGGCACTCCGGTCGTTGAGGAGGAGGGAGAATAGGGAGAGAGATGGCCAGACAGGCCTCCCTGGCATGGACCTGCTGCCCCATGCGTGCTAATGTCCCCTCCCTTCGTCCGCAGAGGGCCCTGTGTGCCATCGCCTCCCTGGGGAGCGCCGACCTCCTTCCCCAGGAGCACATCCTCCTCCGCACCCGGCCGCGGCTGCAGGAGCTCAGCATGGGCAGCCCGGGACCTGTGACCAACAAGGCCACCAAGGTGGGCAGCTGCAGAGTGCCACACACACACTGGGGTCCAAGGGTACAGCAGGACATACACTGCAGTCCACGACCACCCTGTCCCTGCCCGGCACTTGGTCAGCCCTTCCCGGACCTGCCTCCCGAGTCCCCGTCCTGCTGGCAGAGGGAGCAGCAGTGAGTCAGGGTCCTCACCTCCCCACTCCCTTCCTGCCTTCCACCCCAACTCCGCAGCACTCACAGGACACTGGCCTCTCTCTACCTGTTCCTGGAAGCCCCCAAACTCCTCTGCCTTAATGTTCCTGCCCTCGTGTCTCGGCTCACACCCACCTCTTCCAGGAAGCCCTCCCTGACTGCACATGCAGTTTGCCACCCATGGCCCAGCTCATGCTCAGCTCCAGGGGGCAGAAGTGGTTCCATTGATCTCTGTGCACATGAACACTCCGAACTGCCTGGAGGCTGCTGGAATCACACTGGGAGGCCTCTCTCTGCTACCAGGCCCTGGCACCCTCCCTCTGCCTGTGGACACCCCCAGTTTCTTTCTTCCTGTTTTCTCCCTGGCTGCTGGAAACCCAGGACCTCAGTCACCCATCCCCAAGTCGTCCTTATCTAGCTCACCTTTCAGTCAGAGCGACAAGTGAGCCTGGGGTTTGCACCACCGCAGGCGAACCTCGTAGTGGGGTTTCTAAAACGGGCATGCTGGAAGAACCCTGCGTCTAACAGTTGGAAACACCCAGATGTGCCGGGCCACGTGTGTTCACTCCCTCCAGCAGTGCCCGGCGGATTATGACAGGGAGGGTGTCCGTTGGTATAGTAGTGAGTGAAGGAACAAGATTTGAGGTGTGTGTGTGACACCTGCCCCCTGTCGCCAGCACCAGCCCAGCAGCTGCTCTCAGTGGGATGACAACTGGGTGCACTGCTCCAGCCCCTTCCTGCCCAGAACTGGCCCTGCCCTCTGAGTGGAGGGACTGAGGAGGCCCTAGGGAGAGGCGGGCCCTGGTCCCCACAATTTCCAGGGTTGCATAGGAATCTCCCTGGTTCCTCCTTCCTTCCTCTTTCAGATCCTGAGGCACTTTGAGGCCTCCTGTGGGCAGCTGTCCCCTGCCCGGGGCACCTCAGCCGAGCCTGGCCCCACAGCCGCCCTCCCAGGCCCATCTGACCTGCTGACCGATGCTGTGCCTCTTGCTGGGAGCCAACTCTTCCTCCAGCCTCTGAGTTCAACCGCAGTCTCATGCCAGAGCCCTGCTCCCTCATCTGGGATGCCGCCCAGCCCCGTGCCCACCCCACCCCCGGATGCCTCCCCCATTCCAGCCCGCGGAGACCCCAGCAAGGCCAAGGCCAGACTGGCAGAAAGCAGGGGGTGGGGACCTGAACGGGTCCTAGGGGGCACAGACAGCCCAAAGAGAGGCTCCAGCAACTGTGCGTGGAGCCGCGACTCCTTGTTTGCTGGTATGGAGCTGGTGGCCTGCCCCCGCCTGGTGGGGGCCGGGGCTGCTGCAGGAGAGTCCTGCCTTGATGCTCCCCAAGCCCCCCAAACATCATCCCAGAGGACAGCAGTCAAAGAGCCTCCTGGCTCAGAGCCGTCAGCTTTCGCGTTCCTGAACGCCTGACCCGATGGCCTGGTCCTGGAGCCTTCAGCTTCAGCTGCTGCCTGGGGGGCTCTGTGCTTCCTGAGCAGCCTCAACCGTAGCTGCTACAGTCTCCAGGCAACTTGACCTGAGAGGAGGACCCTAGGGCTACCTCAGTTTCCCCCATCTCCTCTGCCAGAGGCTCTGGCTATTTGGACTTGAATTCCTACAAGGGATAGGCAGGTGGCAGGGCCTCAGAAATGTTGATCTCAGGAGTCCCAGGGGGCAGCCCCTGCTTGTCTTGCCCTCAGACATGAGGTTTCTTGTGTGAATATGGAAGCGACCACCAGGTTCTTTATTTCATTTTGATCTCAGCTCCCTCCTTCCCCAGGAGGTCATGAGCAGTAAGCCACCGCCTCCCCATCCCTTCGGGGTGGGCTGGGGGCTGAGGCTGGGTTTGGTGCACGTGGGTTGAGGGTGTCTTGTCCGGGCTGCCTTGTGCCGTCTGGTCTTTGACCATTTCAAGTTTCAGATCCCCACGTGGCCCTTCCCTGGCTCTCACCTGCTCCTTCATGCTGTAATTGCTTCCCGCACACGAAGCCTCTGATTGGAGCCTCTGGTCCATCTCAGAAGAACCTTCCGAGAGCGCTGGGGTTTATGCTTTCTGAATAAACACTACTGTTTACATGAAGCTGGGCCATTTATTTTTCTTCTTTTGTGTATGTGCATTTTAATAAAAATACCGTCAATAAGGGGCACACGCAGAGGACTGCTTTCCTCAAAGTAGGGATGGGCGTTATTCCTAAAACGTGGTAGAACTCCCCAGTGGCACTATTCTTGCAGTTAACCTTAATGGCAAGGTTTTAAACTATGAAACTCAGTTTCTTAAATAAATAAGAGACTATGTGGGTTCTCTATTTCT